TAAGATCCGCCCGAAGTTATACACGTTGGCAGATGTCTCTAGGGATTCACTATAAAAGCGAAGCGAAGCTCCGTACGATCTTTCACTTCCCAATCTCCTCATTCCGCATTGTTCTTGGATCAAAAAAAGGTTCGTGAAGAGGAAGTGAAAGTTTTGTCAGTCCGTAGCGATGAGAGCGAAGGTAAGAAGCTGAGCTCTGTACAAATAACAACTTATGTGATCTTTATGCTTCGATTTATCTTTTTTTTACGGTTGGATTTTTCAGTGGAAGAAGAAACGCATGAGAAGGCTGAAGAGGAAGCGCCGAAAGATGAGACAGAGATCGAAGTGACGAAGTTTTAGCTCGCTCGATGATCTTGTCTCTCGGTGTGGCGTTCCCCCTCTCTCTGTCTGGATTATGTTTTTTTTTTTTTTTTTAATTCTTAAGTTTATGCATGTAAATGCATTAAGCAATTTGTGGTGGCAATGTTTTGATGCATTTGATACTATTGTTTATATAGGTTTCTTGTTGAACTACGCATATCCACTTTGAGGTGTTTTGATGAATTTACAGGATTACTGCAAGTGTTGGTTTCTGATGTTCTGTTTTTGGATTCAACTGGATGGATATATTTGGATTTTAGTGCATGAACAACAGGAAACGTGATGTACCTGTTAGGTTCTTTTGGACTGATAGTCTGCGGAATTGATTCATAGAATTCAAAGAGTGGCTGCGGAATTGATTCATAGTACTCAAAGAGTGGGTTAGTCTTTCTTGGCCTTACTTTAGGTATTGAACTCTTTGAGGGTTACATTTACCGAATGACTAGAAAGTAGAGACTCTGTTTATACTTGAGTTGAATGATTCTAGGCCTAACATTTACTCTAGATACAGATCCTGTCCATTGTCTACAAACATTTAACCAAGGAAGAATCTAGTTGTGCAATAGATCAAAGAAAATTTCAACTTAGTGTCTAACATTACTCATAATGAGTTTATATGTGAAATTGGATGTGGTTTGCAATATGCCATGGAAGACAACCTATTGCATTCCAGCCACCCCATTTCAGTTTTTAGCTGACCTTTTACTAACTTTTCACCAGTTGCTTTACAACTTTGTTTGCTAGAATAGAACTACGTGCCTGCATGCATTACTTTACAAATTATGCATACTATTTCTTTGAAACCAGGACACACCATTCACATAACCGGATTATATTTCTTACACATTGTTACAATTAACTGTATGCGTTGATGCCTATTTAACAATCTGTTGTACCTTTGCTTATTTGTTGGTGACAACTTTTGTTTTGGTTTGTGCATGTTATCAACTTAACCGTCAATGCTTTTATAGAGCTCTGCAGCATACCACCTACCTGACCGATTACCATTGTGTCCAGCATCCATGCCCATGGGATATGGAACTGCATACTCTTACTTGTACCTTCTGTCATCATTTCAACATTCGTAACACCTCACTCCAATCTGCATAGATGGGACTTGCACATATTATTAATGTATACAACCAGTTATATTAGCTAATAGAAACCTGATGTATACATGCTCACCTGTCTTCCTATGCTTGCATCTTTCTTAGAGACTGGCTGAATAGCCATCTTTGGTTGTCCTCGAATGGTGAAACTTCAGATTCAAGGCTCTTCAGGTCCTGGTACCTGCACGCCTTTTCACACAATGCATCTACTTCTCTCTCTGGTCACTCTGGGAAATGCTTCAGTACAGCTTTATTATCAACCAAGAATATATGTAAATGCTGCTGTCTCCACCTCCCTTATCAAGTAATTGATAAATTCCTCATATGTTTTCTCATCAGACTTTATCTAATCGTAAGAGTCATGTATCAGCGGGGTATGTGTTGGGATGGGTAAGTATATAATAACAGTACAAATCATTTACCCAGAAAAAACAGTACAAAATTAATTATTTTTACATCCAGAATAAAAGTCAACCAGTTCCCGAATAATCTTGATCTCTCCCTTGGGGTGATGGTGTTGGTGTTGGTGCTGGTTGAAATTATTTCCACTTGTGCTCTTGGCTGATGAGGAATTAGGCTATGGCGACAGTTTTGGTACTCTTGTCAGTCTTTCCTTTTTGGCTGTAAACTTCACAAGGTCTTTCCTCTGGGACGGCTTTTCTAATGTTGGAATTTGTTCTGGCAGTTCAACTAGAATTGATGGCAGCAACTTGAATATACAGTAGTTTTCCGAAAGGTATGGTTTGGGCGTTTCCAACTCTGCTTGTGTTAGTTTCATGATTCCCTTTTACCCTTCAATTTTTAGTGGTTGTCTATGTGAGATATATTTTGCATGTGCTGGCTACGTCCAGGGTTGTAGCTGTCCTGTCCCAAGGTAGTCATGGTATGCCACTTAATTCTTTATCAAATTTAGTATCAGGTGTCATCAACCTACAGTGTGGTATTTCTTCTATTTTTACACACTGGGTATGAAGCATGGGTGCAGCACTCTTATCTTCCAATGTGAAACTTCTCTTTCGATACCCAAGTGCGCAAGTGTCGGTCACTTGCACAGACTTGAATGTTGACTTCATTAGCTCCCACCTGTTTTTATTTGAGACCTATTAGGTAGATGTCGTTCAGGTTAATGGATTTTTGTTGTTTTGTAATCCATCTCAGCATGTTCGGCTGATTCGTCATGCACCCGCAAGTTCAGCCCAAGCCATGGTTGTATTTGAACACTCGTTTCACCATGAACAATGCGGTACCAAATGACTTTAAGACTTTCTCATGGCCAATTGAGTAACTATATGTAACTCTTAGAATACAAAGGATAAATGATATTCCACTTCATGAGAAATTGATGCATGAATTGAGAGTAGATGTTAATCTTATTAAATATTGGGACGTACTATTAACAGTGTTTACATACTTTAATTACGATCAAGTAACATTACCCTTTCTCAAATCATTTGAACCAAGTATGCAAGATTTGCAACCAGTCAGTTCTCGATAAATTTTGTCTCTAGCTCTTTTAAAGAAAGAATAAAGAGCCATTTGGTTCACATGGCAATGGACTGGGTGGATTCATGAGTTGAGAACCGGAAAAATAGTTTTGGGCCCACGTTTAATTCATCTATAAGCATGAAAGATTAAACATTAGGTTTAAGTCTATTTTTCATTCAAATGTCCAAATTACCTCCCCGAACTCCCGCTGATGCCAAAAAATAATAACATTTAAAATAAAAAATAGTAACATATTAAAACCAATAACTGTTAACATTTAAAACCAAATAAACATAAACACAATGGAGACCAAAAAAAATAACATTTAAATTAAAAAAAAAACAGTAATACTGAACACAATAGGGACTTAAATAGTAACTTCAACAAGATGGTGACCCAAAAACAACATTTAAAACAAATTGATGTTACTATGTGAATGTTACATAATTTTAGTGTCAGTGAATGTGTTGCACTATTTTCCCTTTCTCACTTTCTGGTTCTCTCTCCAGATCCCAATAGATTCTTTGGCCATTGTTGCTAGAAATGGCCACGTAAGCTCATTCTAGCATCTCGTCGAACGCTTAAAACTCTTACCAAACTGAAGTAAACTTTTTAATTTAAACCAATCTGCAACACAAAATACAACAAAAAAAAAATCCAATATAAACAAGCAAGAATTGATTCAAATTACCATTCAAAAAAAAATATTCAAAACACAATGATAACATCATATTTGTATAAAAAACCATGGTAACAATAGCACAAAAGCCCCCCAAAATTTTCAAAGAAAACGACGAACAAGAAGGTTGTCTGATAGCGTTAACTCCCATTTAATGTAAAATATTTTGGAGAAATCTGAGTAAAAGTATACTCTCAGACAGGCATTTTACCGAACAGGTGTCAAACATTAACCAAATTGTACATAATTACACTAAATATTCGAACAGTAAAAAGAAAGGAAAAATGAACATAAATTTGGAAGTAAATTTACTGCATTATGAAAAATCTTTTATGTTTCATCTTTTCGAAGAGTCATCGGATTCATTCGAACATGAATAGCCATGCATACTTGCATGAGCTGCAACAATGAATCTTTTAAGGCAAACTCGCACTTGGATTAGGACTCAACGAGCAGATGTACTCTCTCTCTCTCTCTCTCTCCAAGCTGATCTGTGTATTATAATTGTAATTAGAACAGGGGAAGGGAAGGGGGAGCTTTGGTAAGAGGATGAACAAAACTCATACCCTCTGTATTAGGTGTGGCCGTCGTGGCATCTTTCACATTCAGAAGGTTAAAACAATAATTTAAAAAAAAAAAGCTGTGTAGTTAAAACACATAAAAATTATCGTACACTTAAAGCCAAATAAGTTTAAAACTTATACATAATATTAGACTGACCTTCAATTTTCTGTATTAACAATGGCATGATTTTTACTGTTGGGGCTAGTATATAAGAGTTTAAATTTCATTCATCTCTAATCTTCATGGATTTTCGAGAACATTTTGGTCCAAAAAAAATACAAATCCTGAACTTGTCATCATCTTCTCGGGCCAGCATTCCCTGCCACCACCGGAAAGCCAACCAACAACGAAGTTCAGGATTAAATGACCAACACAGCAGAGGAAAGCATCGGCCATCACACCATCGCACACAGCAGGATTAAAAGTTAAAACCACACATCACACCACCACCACCACAGCAGTGCCACCACCACAAAAAATCATGGTTGGACCAACACCACCATACACTCAAAGTTCTAATCCTAAACAAAAACAACACCATTGCTCCATCAATATGAAAAATCCAAAACACCACCCAACTCCGAAAACGACCACAATTGAGACCTCCATTTCACGCCCCACCGACCAACACGAAAACCCACCCCTCTATCGCAATAATCCTACACCTACGCCACTGACCACCACAATGACTGGAACAACCCTCTTCCAGCCACCCCCATTTCCCCACAATTGGCAATGACCAATTCAGCCATGTCCATCTCCAGCAATCCAACCAATTTAATCAAAACTGAATTGGACACAAGGTATTAAAATAAAAAATAATGGTATCATAAGGTATTAAAATAAAAAATAGTGGCATCATAAGGTATTAAAATAAAAAATAATGGCATCATAAGGTATTAAAAAACCGAGAACAATGCGCAGCTAGTAGCCACAGATATGCATCTTCTGAATTTCGGTCAACTTTAGACAAACGAACTCGCACAGGATTCAACCATCTCATCAGAATTAGACGTCATCTCATCACTCACTCTGATCAGGTTAGATGATAAAATTCTGATGGCTAATTCTTGTCTGAATGGTTGTTTTGGATGAACTGAAGACCAAATTCAGATTTTCTGAAGTTGTCAGCAACATGGACTGACCTTCGATGATAAATGATGCACCATGAAAGAGCTTTGCTATCACCACCAGAACATGTATTGTGATAACAGTAATTCAAGTCATACTAACGTCAGCACTAGTATCGATTCTACTCATAATAATAAGGGGAAAAAAATAAGAAACCATCAATCAAGAATTATATCCCAAGAAAAACTTTTGTTTGTGACATTGTGTTTTTGCTGCACAGCACCATCATAACTCAACAAGCAACTTACACCAGGTCGACAATAGTATGGGGAAAACACCTAGTTATATGCACTCACAGTACTGGAGCCAGAACAACATAGACCCTTGACACAAAAAGAGGACCCAAACAGACCAAATATGGGCAGACATGGACAACAGGACCAACAAAACCATACCATTTCCACCAACAAATCAAACAGATGGCACTTTGTCCAGACTGAAGTAAGATGAATGGCTGGCAAACTAAGTGAGATAATTAATCTTATCAAGTTGAAAGGGCAGAGTATAGGTATGTTTCTACCTTAGGTGGAGGAAACAGACTCCTCATCATTCTTTTCAGTATCTTCTTTTCCAGACTCCTTGTCAGATTCCTTTGCTTCCTTGGCTACGGGCGCCTCGTCCTTGTGCTTCTCTTCAGTTTGTTTATCTTCAACACTCAGGTTCTCAAGTAGCCCAGCAGTAGCAGATGCATCCTTGTTTTCCTCATTCTTATTTTGGGATTCAGCAACCTCTTGAACCATTTCCATGAAGGTTTTGCAATCTGAAAAATGAGAGAGGGAGATTAGGACCCTTTTTTGTGCTGCCCACTTCAGACACACAAAGTACATAATGAATAAAAAATGATCCCAGAGATGTGCAGTGTCATCATGAACCCGATCTCAATGTAACACACTGTTTTGCAGCACAAAAAAACCCACAAAGCTCTAGATTTCCCCCTTCATTCTCCTGGTTTTTTTTTCTTTTTTTTCTTTTTTTTGCACAAGAGAAAGTAAAAAAAAAAAGGGGGGGGGAATATGCATCGAATGAAGCTATAACTCGATATATTTTCCAATGAAATTCCCAGGTGACATACATGCTTCAAGTTGCAACCTCTTTTGACATTAGTGGAACAATAAAACAATAAATTATGCAAAGCGTTGATTTTCTCCCAGCTTTTACATGCATATGAACAAAATGACACATCCAAATCCTTTCAATATCATATTTTGTCAAGTCGCACAAGTTCAGTCACCACCATTAACAGTTCAAAAAACCAGTAACCCACCATTAACCATGACGCTTGACCAGTGGATGGTTATGGGTCCCACTATCCGTGGATTATTGAAGTTGATTAGATTTGAGAAAATTTGAAATCAAAAGGATCCAAAACACATAATGGCCATTGCCTAGTTTTGAGACTTTTGTCACACACTCGAGTAAAAATGTAAGCTTTAGCAAAATTCGCATCAAAGCCCCAAGAGGTGGGTTGTTGTTGATGGTTGTAGTTTGGTTTTGGATGTTGAGGGCCTATCATATAAGATAGACAAACCATGATTCAAGGTCGCGGTATCGGTGATGCTAAACATGACAAGAGATTTAAATCATATTACAGCGTCACGGACCCGTATCGACAGATTCGATGAATTTTAACAAGTTAGATATGATTAACATTTAATTACATCAAATAATTACTTAATTTCATCATATGATTATACAACTTGGATCGGATCACAATCAAATCGGATATTAATATATCAAAATCTAAATCATTCAATATTATATAATAATTCGGATTTTGATGTATAGACTGCTTACAATAGCACCAGATAAACAGATGTGATAGCTATTGTACAACAATCAACAGAGTAAAAGAAGGTCAAAAATAACTTTAACAGAAAGGATGACACTTAGTAGAACACAATGACGAAATATGATTCATGTAGGCTTCATTGAGTGAAGTTGGGTTTTATACGACAAATCAGATTCATTATCTTTTACAATTCTCAAGACCACGCTAACGAGCAATGTTATGCCACATCACTACACCAACATAAGGCATGTTCAAAAATCTATAGATTACAAAAATATTGCAGAACTACCTGGAAAAAAATAGTCATCCATAAAGACATATATGTCAAAAAATAAATAAATAAAGATCCACTGTAAGATATATGGGAAAAAATGTTAACTATTCCACCTTTCCATTCAAGTTATTTCACCTGAACCAGGCCAAGAGAACAGTTGCACATGACAGCATATACTTCTTTCTTGTACATACCATAACTGATTATCATGCAAGCACCAAGGTTTTACATCACATATCATTTCCAAAATATCATGTACAAAATCTCTTTTCTGCAAAATCCAGATGGCATTTTGACGTTCCAACTTCCAAATGGTATGCACATATAAGTGATATAAATACCAACAATATGCACACATCCAGATATAACTGGAAACCTTTACCATTTAACTCGAGCAATTTGGCACTAAAAGATCATTTTGTTTAGTTTTCTTTCCTTTTCTTGTTAACACATTACATCACAGAAGATCAAGACCCTAGTACTTAGATCCTTCCGCAGTCTTTAAGAAAGCAATTAAGTTAAATTGAACAACACGCAATCTACATACAATCAACACGAATGTTTAGTTCAATATAGTAGTGAAGATATTTTCCAAAGTATACTTACTCTCAACTGATCCGAATCTAATGCAGAACAGTTCATTCTTCAGTTCACCATCAGCGAAGTCAGCCGCATGCCACACACAAGACTTTTCATTCCCAGCGTGTTCCTGAACCGACATAGTAGGAAGAACTGCAAATTACAGTCAAAAAAGGCATCCCAAATATTAATATCACACCAAACAAGTGCTATTAGATCATATGGAGCAAAAGAAGTATTGAAAACAGACCAAGATGGTTTGCACAGATCTTGAGAGTTTTGGATTGGCGCATAACGAGACGAACTTTGTCAGTTTCCTTGTGCTTCAAGAGCTTCACAGTACCAGCACCTCTCTCCTTCCATTGATTTCCTTCTTTATCGAATCGATAGAGCTTTGCTTTCCTGCGGAGCAACAGAAACGAAATCATTGAGAAATAAAACCTAGATTTTCACCATATCGAGACGAAATTGATCTCAGGCTAGAAAAGAGGAGGAGTAAGATTACAGATCGAGAATTGCATCTTCGTCTTCTTCACCGCTGCTCACAGAGACCTCTTCGAGCTTGACGATTGGGGCGACCTGTGCTCCGGTGTCTTCATCTTCGGCTCCAGCGGTTTCTTCCTCTTCTCTGTGCTCAGGATCTGTGCTCGCCATGGTGAAGAAAGATGAGAGAGAGTGTGGACTCAATATAAGAGAGAAAGCACTTGTGAAAGGCTGAAATTAGGGAGCGGAGAACGGTGCGAGGGTTGGAGGGCTTTTATAGGAGAGTGAGGAAAAAGTAGTAGTGAGCGAAGTGAGTTGGGAAAAGGAGGCGTGAGTTAAGTGAACCGCCTGAGTGGACGAATGGAAGGGTTTTTAAATACGATTTCGACTGTTTGGTTCTCTGGTCATTGTTGTCTTATTCCGGAATAAGACTATTCCACTTATTGTTGTGGATCGTAGGTGGGACAAGGCCCTTTCTTTTGGACTCGAGGCCCATGGATGCCCCCCCCCCCCCCCCCCCCAAGTGGTAAAGTTGAAAACCTTTGCCAAGTTCAAGGAATTTCTCAAGGGTATAACTAGGCCCATTTAAGACATTACAAGACGCCTGATGGTGCAATCGGGATACAAAAATCATCCTAATTGTTAATGTATATAATGATAATATATTTGTTTCACTTTAGTTAGATTATAAAATTTTAAGATTTTTTTGTATTTTAAATAAACCTCCTCACGTATATAATAGATTACACTAAAGTAATATATAATTCATGTTCGCTTTCTATTCTCTTCTTTCACATGATATCAGAGTCTAGGCTCGTAAATCTTTTGTGCTAAGGCTAATATGCTCTGTGGATATCCTCCACATCAAAACTCTTGAGGCTCTTCTACTTTTGGTTGTCCTCTGAGATAATATGTTGTGTGGTTGTCTTGTGAGGGATTCTCCACATCAGAACACTCGAGACTTCTCTTTTGGTCGATCTCTGGTGACTTTCTAGTAGTCCTCCAACAACATTCCAATCACCTTGCAATCATCATTTGTGTGACATTCCAATCTGCCCCACGTCCTTCCTTTGACTACATTTCGATCAGCTCTCTGATCGACCTTCGGTGACCTTCTAGTCGTTCACTGACTATCCAGATCTCACTATGGCACTATTTAATGTTTTCCAGCCAATTTTTATCACTCTTGATGGCTCCAACTACATCATTTGGGCTCAATTTATGACTAGTTTTCTCAAAGGTTGTAAACTCTAGTGTTATGTTAATAGTGATATCAAGGAACCGATTCAATTTGCGGCGAAATAGGCTAAAAAATACGCAAATCGTCTTAAAGAATGAGAAAGCAAGAACCATCAAATTATCACCTGGTTTCAGAACACCTCAACACCATCCATAAAACGACTGCCACATCCATTTAGGACTTCCTCAGCAAACTCTACACGACTTATTCATCAGTATCAACCTCTTAGTACTCTTTACAGCTTGCGCCAAGATCCTATCAGTCAATTTATAGATTTGTATCACATATATACACTATTTGGGATCAATTGACACCATCTGAGCCTAAATGGAAATATATTGATGATGATGTGAAGTTTACTACTTATCGTGATCAGCAACATTTGATTATGTTCTTCATGACTCTCACCAATACTTTTGAGCCCATTCAAGCATCTCTTCGCCATCGCAATCCTTTACCTACTTTGGAACAAGCTATCTCTGAACTGCTTTCTAAGGAAACCCATCTTGGCACTGTCCAATCACAACATCCAGACATTGTTCTTACCAGTCATCATCCTCGAGGCAATTAGTTTCACTACTCATATTGTCATAAAATTGTTCATGCTCTATTCAACTGTCCTACTCGAATTTGCAAGTTCTATCACAAAATGAGCCCAGGTCACTATCAGAGTAACTGTCCCCAAAATCCAAACTCTAATGAACCCAAGCATGACAGATCTCACACCAACAAGCACAGATCTAGCAATTAGTCTAGAGACAAGTCTATGCATGTTTTTCACTATGTTGTTCTTACTGTCGATGACTCTTGTCCTCTAGAGTCGCCCTCTTTGTCTCTTTCAGTGCTAGTGATCTTGAGGTTATCCTCAAACAAGTTCTTTCTAGATCTAGTAATATGCCTCCTACTACTTTGTATGTCACTTCAGGTATATCATCTTGGTTTTTTGACTCTACATGTTATAACCACATGACCCATGATGGATCATTATTTTCTTCCACAAAATCTATTGGTTTTGTCCTTCCCATTCACATTGCATATGACTCACTTATGCATGTCAAACACTTTGGCAATGTCTTTACATCCCATGTTTCACTTCTCTATACTTATCACATAACTAACCTTACTCTCAATCGCATATCTGTGGGTCAACTTTGTAGCCTCAGACTCACTGTTTTGTTCTCTTCTACTAGTTGCATTGTGCCTAATCCAAAGATAGGATTGATCCTTGATCCTTGGGATACACCGTAAGCATGAATGTTTGTTTAAGCTAATCCATATTCATCTTCCAAAATAGCTATCTTCCTTAGTTCTATCTATAGTTACTGCTTTCGCTGCGACCAATTCTCCTGTCAGTCTTTGGCATTCTTGTCTAGGTCAGGTTTTGTTAATTCGTCTACAATATTTAATTTCTACTGGTCAATTAGGGGCATGTTCATAGTGAACAACTTGATTCTTTCTCTTGTAAACTTGAAAAACAACCAACTGTACCTTTCAATAGCACTAACTCTTTCTCTTCTGCCCCTTTTAATTTGGTTCATTCTGATATTTTGGGACTATCTTCAACTGTTACTATGGGAGGGTCAAAGTACTTTGTCATTTTTATTGATGACTATTCTCGCTTCATTTGGATTTATCTTTTGAAAATTCAATCTCAGTTGCCACAAATTTATTGTAATTTTGTCAAAATGGTCCAAACTCAATTCTCTCGATCCATTAAAATCTTTAGATCTAATAAAGCCATGGAATATAGAGACACCACCTTCCTTAAATCTCTCAGTCAACATAGCACCATTCATCATCGTTCTTATCCTAACACATCTCAACAAAATGGACGAGCTAAGGGAAACATCATCATATTCTTGATACTATTAGTGTTCTTCACATCTCCTCTTATATCTTGAGCATTTTTGGGGTGAAACTACTCTGACCTCCGTCTATACCATCAATCACATTCTCTCACTTATTATTGGGCATCAATCTCCATATGAGAGGTTGTATGGCACTTCCCCTGATTACCATTCTCTTTGCATCTTTGGTCGTGCATGTTTTGTCTTTCTACAACCTCATGGGCATACCGAATTGAACCCTCAGCATGTCTTTGTTGTTTCTTGGGTTATGGGATTGAACATAATGGTTATCGTTGTTGGAATCCATATTCTAGACATCTTCGTATTTCTCGTCATGTCGTCTTCTAGGAACATGAGATGTTCTCCTCCTTGTCTTATTTTCAGTTGTTGTCTGCCCCTATTTCTCCTCTCTTTATTGATCCATTTATGGATCTATATCTTGATGACCCACATCCAGTCTCATTTGAGCTCCCATCTATAGGCCATCCGAAGGTTATTGTCCTACCTACTAATCCTACTCTTGCTCCTACTCCTACTCTTGCCCCACTTCATACTGATAGTGATCTTGCCTTAACTCCTAAACATCCTACACCACTTCTTATTGATACTTATTCTCATGTTCATCAGTAATTTCATTACACTCAGGTAAGGAACATTCCTAGTCAATTTTATAATTAACATTGTTTCTCCACTAGTTTATCTTACCATGAGCCTTACTCTTATCATGAGGCTAGCTCTGATCCTCATTGGCGGCAAGTAATGACAGAAGAATTGAAGACACTAGCTGACACACATACTTGAGATTTGGTTGATTTTCCTCCTAGAAAAATTGTTATTTGTTGTAAATGGGTTTATAAGATCAAAACTCGCTCATATAGTTATATTGAACATTACAAGGATTCTCTAGTGGCTAAAGGCTTTACATAGGAGTATGATATTGATTATGAAGAGACTTTTGCTTCCATTTCTTGTCTCAGTTCAGTTCAAAGCCTAATAACTATTACTGCCGCTCGTTAGTGGAAATTATATAAGAAAGATGTCAAAAATTCATTTCTCAATGGTGAACTTATTGAGAAAGTCTAAATGTAGCCTGCTCTTGGGAATTGTCATTCTCCACTTCAGGTTTGTCGACTTCGTCATGCACTCTATGGCCCCATGCAAGCCCCTAAAGCCTGGTTTGGAAAGTTTAGTACTACCATTGGAGATTTTGATTTTTCTTTCAGCGTGACTCGACTCTCTTTGTTCGTAAGTCTGAGTGTGACACTACTCTTCTCTATGTGGATGAAATGATTATTACAAGGGATGATGTTTCTGGTATTTTTTATCTCAAATATTTTGTCAACACACACTTTGAGATGAAAGATCTTGGTTCTCTCAGCTACTTCTTAGCCCTTGAAATTTTGTCTAACTTTAGTGGGTATTATCTCTCTTAGGCTAAATATGTTTCATATCTTTTTACTCGTGCTAGACTCATTGATTACAAGATTGTACCTACCTCATTAGAGCAAAATGTTGAACTTATTCCCTTAGATGTCACACCTCTCTCTGTTGCCATTTTTTGTCGCCAGTTGGTAGGCAGTCTTGTGTATCTCACTGTTACTTGCCCATATATATTCTATAATGTTCATCTCGTCAACCAATTTTTGATTGCCCATCACTCTACTCATTATGTTGTTGTTTTTCGTATTCTATGATATATTAAGGGTACTATGTTTCATAGTCTTCATTACTCTACTCATTCATCTATCAAGCTACGCGCCTATTTTGAGGTTGATTGGGCAAGAAATCCTACTGATCGTCGTTCTATCACTAGTTAATTTTTCTTTCTGGGCGACCCTCTCATCTCTTAGCGTTGTAAGAAACAATCTGTTATCTCTCGATCCAACACAAAGGCAGAGTATCGTGTTCTTGCTGACACTACCGAATAGCTTCTTTGGCTTTGTTGGCTTTTAGAAGATTTAGGTGTCTCTCATTTTTGTGCTACTATTCTTTATGGTGACCATCAGAGTGTGATACAGATTTCTTACAATGATGTTTTCCATGATCACATTAATCATATTAAGATTGACTGTCACTTTGTGCGACATCATGTGGCTCAAGGCACAGTTCATCTTCTCTCTGTTTCTTCATCTACCCAGACTGTTGACATCTTCACCAAG